TATTGAAATGATACCTAATTACTCAGTGCTCTGCACTTGGTTTTTCTTACTCTGCAATGTGTGCTTGCAGTGTTTTCCGTACCAATTCCTACAGACCCATTTTATTCTTTTCAGTATGCCCAGAGTATCCCATCGTATAGACCCAGAGAAGCCCGATCCCCTGCTAATGGACGTCTTCATTGTCTCAATTTGATTCCATTGCAAACACTGCCTCCTCAAACATCCTTATACACATGTGAGAAGACATCTACACAGTGACTCCTGCAGCCATTTGTACAAAAGGGAGGCCAGTGGGCTTGTCCCCTTGGATCCCATCCTTGCTGCCACACGCTCCCTTGACTGGATATTCTGAGCCCTCCCTTGCTGTGCTGGGCCCATCATCACCGAGGCTCGCACTCAGACTCCCCTTCTCCTTCACTCCCACCCCTGACAGCCCTGACCCCTGGAACATCCACCTCCTTGCCCAAAGCCCTGCACTCCTGCCAACCTGTGACCCAGTGAAGGTGAGTGCCTTTAGCCTTCTTCCTCTGGGACTGAAACCCAGGCTTTCTCTAAGCAACCCTCCCTGCAGTGCCCCCCACTCCCCGCCGCCAGCCACTCTCCCCCGGCGCTAACGCAGACAAACTGTGGGCCCCTGGTCTGCTCCCCCAGCCATGCCCCAGCACCATTTCCAGAGCCCGCCCTCCCAATCTGCCCCCTTTCTGCTCTGGTGAACTGGCCCACATCACTGACGGGGCCTGGCTCCCACAGGAAGCTCAGTGAGCAGCCGCACCCCACCTACGGCCAGGCCTGGCCCTGGTTTCAGCACCTGTAACCTCGGAAAGTCACACCAGAAACCCAACCTCATACCCCAACCCAAATCCCACCCTTCGACAGGAGCTGACAAATAGCACTGTGGGTAGAGAAGGACACACCAAGCTGAGACACCATCAGCTAAGAACACATGAACCATTCGTGCTCCCCAGGCCATTCGTGCTCCCCAGAGAGAGCAGACACACGCGCGTTCTGTCAGAGAGGACCGGCTTCTGATCTCCAGCGGGGACCCAGATGGCCGAGGTGGGCTCTGTGCTGAGTCACATGGGGGCTCAGCCCCAATGCACCCATTACATTTTCAATATCACATTTAGCGCAAAAAAACATTTTCTCCGCTTGGCAGACTGCAAAACTCACTCTGTTCTGGGGCTGGGGCTGGCCCCAGGCCAGGCCGTGGAGCTCCAGGTGGCACAGCTGCGGGCCCCTCTCCTGCCCCTGTCCCCCCACCACGCATCCCCGCCGCCCAACTGTACCTGAGCCCATGTACAACGTCAGGAAGGGAATCTTTGAGGCCATCTGGCCCAGTCCTGATCTTACGGACCAGGAAACTGAGTTTCAAAGAATCAAAAATATCACGTAGTCACTTAGGGACAGAGCCAGGGACAGGAATAGCAAAGCTGCCATCTCTGCGTCCCTCCTGGATGCCAGGTTCCTGTGTGCGACGGTCTCAGGCGCTCGCGGCCTCGAGCTCACAGACCGGAGGCTGGAGGCTGGTACTCGAGGTCACGCAGCTGGAGAGGAGCGGAACTTGGAGACGCACTCAGCCACCTGCTCCCTGTCTGGCTCCTTTCACCACCCCGGGATGCCACGCTTAGGACAGGAGCGAAAACTTCGAGTCGGACAGGAAGAGAGAGTGTGTTAGGGAACGAAATGAGTGGGCTATTACTAAACAGTGAAAATGCAAATAAAGCGACAAAAACAGAAGCCAGCAGGGGTCAAGTGAAGCAGTACTTTTCTTCTTAAGTAAGGAAGTGCCCAAAAACCAAATGGATGGGAGCACGTCCCGGACCCAGGAGCCAACCTGAAGGACTGGGGGCCGAGGCTGGGGGTGGTGGACACAGCCGGATGGAGGTGAGAGGCAAGAGACAGACACAGCCCAGAGCTGAAAATAAATATCCACCACACCCAGGCCAATAAATGATGGCGCAAATAACCCCCGGGAGGACGCCCTTGCAGGCAAACGCTAAACCGTGTATGTCAGCACTGCCCCTCCAAGAGGTGGAGGGAGCAGCCTCCCAGAGGGGTACAGGCTGCCTGGACGTGCCCCCCGAGAGGACGGTGTGGAAGGGCGTGGGGTGACCACGCTGGAGGGCTCCAGCCCAGCCTGCCGCTGCTCAAGGCCACACCAACAGTATCAAGCATCCGATGGGACGTTCCCATCACACGGTGTTTGTAAAGGACACTTCACCTCTGTCGTCTCCCCTCCAAACCGGTAACCCCAGCCCAGCCATGAGAAAAACACCAGACAGGTTCATCGTGAGGGGGGATTCGGCAAAACACCTGACCTCAAAACCCTCGAGGTCATCCAGAACAAGGAGGGTCTGAGAAACTGTCCCAGACCTGGGGAGGCCCCAGAAACCAAATGGGATGAGGGATCCTGGAGAAGATCCTGGGGCAGGAAAAGGACCCAGGAACCACTAGTGGAATCCTGAGAACCTGTGGGCGCTGCTCAAGGTGATGGGCGGATGCTGGTGCCCGGAGGAGAAAACGCACGCAGGGTAGCTTGGCCAGTGGCCAGCAGGGCGGGGGGCAGGAGGTTTTCCAAAAACGCACAGCTCTTCTCCATCAAAGGTTTATAGTAAGTAAACGTGCAGAGATGTTCGGCTCCCCCACCGGGGCCATTCTTCTTAACTGCCCGCACGTGACCCCTATCGGAGAGTTTCCGGGGCCCTGCTAGCGCCTGCGAATCAGGGATCCAATGACAGTCAGTGTCCCCTGCAAGGCAGGAGAGGCCTCTCACAGGGGTGACACCCCAGGGCTTCCCTGGAGTTTGCTGGGATTCTAACCAAGTTCTAGAGCTCTTTCTTCTAGACCAGAGCTACAGGGATCCCGTGTCCTCTCCCACCCTCTGTTCATTGCTGGCCTTTGGCATCTCCCACGCCTGCGTCCTGGGAGCTGTGATCAGGTGGTTGCAGGTTCAAATTTCCTTTCGTGTGAAAATGCAAAGTGACCTGGCCGGGAGGAACAGAGCAGGTGTCCTCTTTCAGCCAGCTGGGGTCACCGTCCCCTAAGAGCCCCTCTCCCACCCCCGGCGGTCCCTCCTGCCCCACGCAGGTCTCAGTCCTCAGGCTCATCAGGACTTGGCTGGGCTCCAGGCAGTCGCCCAGGGAGCACCGCTGCCAAACAGGCCCCAGGAAGGCCCGGCCTCTGAGCTGCGCATTGCTGGGCAGGCTGGCCCCCAGCCAGCGGGCCCCCAGATGCCATGCAACCCACACCTGAGCGGGGTAAGAGAATAGGTGTGTGTAAACAGTATTTGAAAAAGAAAATAGCTGTACAAATACAGCACTTGTTAACACAGGTGTTTATAGGTGGAATTATTTTTCCAGGGTTGCTATCTCCCAACCTCCTTTGTAAGTCCCAGCTCACACCTGCAGGGACTTTCCTATTAGGTGAAGGCACAAAGAGGAAATAGAGAGTCCGTATCGACTTCACGAAGCAGGAGGTCAGTGATCGGCTTCGGGCCGGGCTAGTTCTCACCCGGTCTCTTCCCACTGGAGGTACTTTTTTTTTTTTTTTTTTTTTTTTTTTTTTTTGACCTGCTCTAGCAGGATCCGGCCTGTTCGGCGCTTCCTGCTTGGTGAGGAGCAGCCCATGACCCCCTTGTGGGCGGTCTCAGGGGCATGGGCCTTTCCTGGGGCCAGGGGGAGACGGCTGCTGTCTGGGCATTATTATCCTACTCTATCCTCTCTCCCCAGGGGAAGCCTCGCTATTTAGAGTTCATGGACAAGAAAGCCAAAGACACTTGTCCGAAGTCACGGAGCTCCAGGAGCAGGATTCTGGGGCCAATAGAATCCAGAGCTTCAGCTGGAGAGGGCGGCAGCTGCATCCCCGAGACAACACCACCTGAGGACAAGGGCGCATCTGTGGAAGCTCAGGAACATTCGACTGTGAATGTGATTTTGTTCGGCCTCGTGGAAGGAGGTAGCACTGTCAGGTGGGAACAGATATTAAAAAATCGTGGAAATAAAAAAAAAAAATCGTGGAAATGAAACTCTGTTCCATGATCTGCATGCTTAAAAATGGTTAAGATGCCAGGGCATCTGGTGACTCAGTTGGTTAAGCGGCTGCCTTTGGCTCAGGTCATGATCCCAGGGTCCCGGGATGGAGTCCCACCTTGGGCTCCCTGCTCCTGCGGAGAGTCTGATTCTCTCTCTGACCTTCTCCCCTCTTACATTCTCTCTCACTCCATCTCTCTCTCAAATAAATAAATAAAGTCTTTTTAAAAATGGTTAAGATGGCAAATTTTGATGTTTTGGGTATTTTGCCATAATTTAAAACATTTCTGGAAGAGAAGCCTACCAGGGAGGTCCTGCCCTGTGTGGAGGGAGACCTAACACAAATCAGGGAACTCTGGTTTTCAGTCTGTTTCAGTCGCCGCAGCACCTGGACATTTGGAAAGAACTCCAGCCTCCGCAGAGACCTGCCCTCCGACGGGCCGCTCACTCCCGCAGATGGGAGGCGCGTGTCCCCCGCTGTTTGGGGAGGCCCTAGCAGTGAAATACCCCCAAAAGCAGATTCTTCAGAGTGACATGTGGAGGCTCGGTTTGCCAGGCTCTGCAGCAGGGGCAGGAGGGAGGGGAGAGGGGGAGAAGACAGCTGGTTTGGAGGAGGGTGAGAGCAGCCCAGGGGTTGGTGAAGCCGGGTGAACATGGTGGCTTTGGGGGACTTCGAGGGGGCTATGTCACTGTTGGAGCAGGGCAGACCGACAGACACTGTGACCTGCTGGACAGAGGCCACCCGTGGGAAGGTCCCTTGTGGCCACCTGGCCAGAGGTGAGCAGGGGTGAGCCGAGCGGGGTGGGAAGTTGCTCAGTCCCCAGAGCTCCCAGCGATGCCTGGGAGGAGCCGCGTCTCCCGCAAGCACACAGACGGGGCTCAGGCAATGCTGCAGGGCACGGTCTCACTACATCTACAAGCTGGGGGCAAACATTATTATCTGGTTTTAGCAGCAAAACCCTCCCATCCGTCTTGAAAAACGAGGAGATTTCTAGACACTTTGCTTAAGAACTATTGTTCTATCCCCTCTCCCTCTTTGACCTCCGTTCACAAACCGGCTCCATTTCACAGATGAAGAATCCAAGGGTCGGAGAGACAAGGGGCGTTCACAGGTGGGCCTGGTGAGGAAGGCTGGCCGGGGTAGACGGTCAGGTGTCCTAGACCCTACTGTGGGCTTCCATCCTCTATGACACTGTCTCCTGAAGAAGTGGACCCCCATGAGCAAACAGGCAGGGGTGGTCCACTCCAAAACCCTCCTGTCTCCCCCTGGGGCCCCTTTACCTGCCTCTCCCTCTGTGTGGCAGATGGGTCAAGGCAGGTGGGCACATGGGCCCGAGCACCCACCAGAGGCCAGTGGCTGGTCAGCCCTGTCACCTGCCAGGAGGAGGGGCATAGAGAAAGGGAAGAGCACCAATTGAGAATTTTATTATTTTATTTTATTTTATTTTATTTTATTTTATTTTATAGACTTATGTATTTGAGAGAATGTTTGGGGGGTCAGAGAGAGAGGGAAAGAATCTCCAGCAGACTCCCAGCTAAGCATGGAGCCCAACAGGGGGCTCGATCTCAGGACCCCAAGATCGCGACCCAAGCTGAAAGCAAGAGTCGGTTGCTCAACCAACTGAGCCACCCAGGCACCCCCACACCCCCACTGAGAATTTCAAAGTTCCCCAAGGAGAATCTGAAAGGTTTTCCATCTGAACTGATAACGAGTCTCTAAAAGATGGGACAGTGACGATAAATAAATAAAATAAAAGATGGGACAGTGCGTAACTAGCCATTATTTGATGTCATTCTAATCAAGGTAACCTCGTATTCTAGTGACAGACCTGCTCTGTTACTCGGAAGTGACGGGAATGTTACGGTGCATTGTCCACCGGCCACGCTGGGGACTTGGGCCATCTGCTGGCATCCTAGGCACCGGCAGCCTTGGGAGGGACAGCAGCCCAGAGTTAAGGAACAAGCAGCACCCCCTCGGGGGTGTCTCAATCGATGAGCAATGAGCGGGTATCAGGTGAACCCCGCGTGCCAAGAAGGTGCATCAGGTGGACAAAGGCCCTTTCGTTCCCCTTACTGACACCCCCATGTGCAAAATGCCCCCTCCCATACACACACGTCAGGGCACACAGACTCACAACCTACCCCACCTCACCCCCAGAGGTCCAGAGTCGTCTCCTGCCACGTGTCTGGGTTTAGACCTAACCCCACACACACAGCAGGCCGTATCTTCTGGCTCTGCCTCTGTCCCCACTGCCTGCATGTCTCCCGCAGCGCCCTGGGTGCCCTGGGGGTTTCTGTCACCTGGCAGTCGGGGAACAGCGCAGGTGTCTTCCAGGTGAGAACGGTCTCCGGCTCAGGTTCTGGGGGAGAGCCCCTCCCCCACACTTCCAGCAGGGCAAACTGCGTCTCTTCCCTTGGACCCTGAAACTCCCCCTGGGATGTCGACTCAGGCATCAGACACAGCTCCGTGGTGACCCGGGGACAGACAGACCGGGCTCCCCAGGCGAGGACAGTCTGACGGGCTCCAGGATGGCTATGCAGCTCCCTACAATGAACCACTTTTCACATCTCCCGGCGCTAGCGTCTCTGGGATGGGGTGACACGGGCGCCCGTGAATAATCATGAAATAAAGGGAGATAATTAATATTTAGCTTTGCCAGAGGGAAGCACTTGGGGGGAAACTGCCATTTAGTCAGAGGGATGAGAGTTGTCAGCTGGAGGGCAGGACTAATTAGTTGCATCGACAGCAGCCGCGGGGCGCCCGGAGCAGCTTGCTGGCGCCAAGGTGACTTCCGTGGGGTGATGAGATGCAGGGCAGCAGAGACGGGGGCCAGCCCATGCACAGGTGGGTATTCCATTCCCCACACACCCCTCGGCCCCAAGGTCCATGGCCAAGGTCAGGGCCCTGCTGCCCCTTGCTGGCTCTAGGAAGCAGTTGGATTGGTGGCCTTACAAGAAGAGACCCGCACTGTCTCTAGGTCACCTTCTCACTGGAACCTGACCCTGCCAGACCTCGATCCGGACCTCCGGCCACTAGGACTGTGAGAATCTCAGCAAATTCTCGAATCTCAAGAAATTCTCGAATCGAAGCAAATCCTCAGCAATTTGTGCTCTGGAGGGCGGCCCAGGCTGACGAAGACACGCTCCACCTGCCCTCCCAGGACAGAAAAACCCTCTAAACAATCCCCGCTAAGAGGTCATCTGATTAGGCTTGAATACTCCCGGGGATGAGGTACTCACTCCCACTTCTTTAGCTTTGGGACAGTAGAATGGAGAGAATTAGGGACTTTAGTTCTCAAGGTCTTCCATGCAAAGCCCCTTGGCCCCAAGCCCACCTCTTGTCCCTCCGTACAGTCCCGTCCAGCGGGGGAAGGGACTCAGTGCCCACACAGGCACGCTAGCGGGAACCCGAGCACCACGCGCACGCCCCTTGCCTTCAGGGCTCACGTCTGCCTGTTCCCTGGTCCTAGAGATTCCGCTTCCTTCATCCGGGGCACCGTGTCCTCCCCATGGCCACTTGCCCCCACTAACCGTCACTGGCTTCCTCCTGGCGTTTTGCGACAGCCTCCTAACTTCCCCTCACTGCCACTCCCACAGCCACCCTCCAAAGTGCTCGCAGGCTGAGCTTCCCGAAACACGCTCCTGACCACGCACTTCCCTGCTAAATTGTCACTGTGTCTCCACAAGCCCTGCAGGATAACGGGCAGACTCTGAGCTGCGTCCTCGGTGGCCCATCCCTGGTCCCAGGGCTTGTTCCTGCAAAATCTCCAACCACAGTGTGACTCCCTTTGCCCCAGCCCACCCTCCACATACATGGGCACGCGTGCACACCCACACTAGACGGAGGCGCACGTGCACTCCCATGCGTGCGTGCGCGCACACGCATGCACACACACGCACACGTGCACGCACACATACACACGCGCACA